TGTCTGAACACACCAACAAATAAAGGTTCCAAAAGGGTTTTTTGGAGAAGAAGAACCCCTTTTGGCTCCTTAAAGAACCTTTCAATAGAAACTTTCAATAAACCTGGAGCACTGGAGTGGAGAAACCAGTGTTCTTAGGAAGTCAAAAGTGGTTCTTCTATGATATCATTCCAGAGAACATTTTTGGAGCGTTTAGTTTTACGACTGTACCTTTCTTTGAATTAATTCTGCTCAGCAGCAACTTGCAGTGATGGGTAGAAATGAAAAATAGTGCCTGTCTAAAACCAGATGCAGCTGATCATTCAATCAAATAAATAAGTGAAGCAAATTGTGGTCAAACCAACAGCTATCAGGCCTAATTACATTGCTGACACTAGTTTCCTGTGCTACCTGACCTTTGACCTGACAATAAATAGCTCATCTAGTCTAGTCTAGAAGGTTGTGAATTAAATGTTCCACTGACATTTTTGTCAATGGCATAATTAATAAATGTAAAACCCTTAAAAACTAAACTTTATTTTCCACATTCACCAATATTTTCGTACTGTTCAGTATTCTGAAAATATGACCATCCATAATAACCAATAGAGGGTCGAAATTGGGCCTTTAGAGTTTTGGACTACATTTTCCTTTCAGTGGAGAATCTCCAATCAGAATGCAGTACAGTCCCGGACTAGGCTTAATTCCTGTCTGGTAAATTGAACCATTGTGTTTCTGTATTGCTCAGCAGTGTTGGGAGAGTTCTTTAAAAACATAATCTATTATAAACTACCAACTACATCTCTCAAACTGTAATGGAATTATTTTACTCATTACTTCATGGAAAAAGTGATCACAGTGCTCATTACTTTACTTTTACTTTACTCTATATAACCCAAACACATCTGTACTAACGAGAAAGCACAGCAGCCCTTTTACTACTTTATTTAGTAAGAATTATTTGATCACAGCAAGGCCAGTCACTCTGCCTTTGAACAGACACAGCCATTTATACTGATTCAAATTCTGAACATCTGATGCTGTTTGAAAACCTAGAAACTAGTTGACAGAAAGGGTGCTGAAACAGCTGCACCAAAATAAAACGGTTATGAACGGAATGTAAAGCCTATAGAGCTGTTGCTGAATGAACATCTGTCTTCTTTAGCACAGAGATCTTAATTCATCAGTTTCATATTAGTGTGATTAAATACTCTGACAGATTGTCTGCTGAGTTTATGGCACTGAGCAGCTCAAGTACACAATCGAAACTGCGCAGTCAGCTGTCGCGGATGGTACATCCTCACGCAAATTACACACATGGACTGGCACAGATTATATTAAATTTATGTTTTAAAAGCAAAGAGCATAATTATTATTGCTCTGTTAGGGACATTTGAGCAGGGCGGATTTAGGGATCATGGAGTTTTAGATTAAAAAAAAGGAAAGGGGCCCCCCGGACACAGATTTAAAACTTAGTCCATCTACAGTACAAAAGTCCATCTATCTTAGTCCTTTTACAGTGCAAAAAATGTTATCTTGAATCTAGTCAATATATCTAATATTTCTCATTTTAAGATTGCTGTAAGAATATTATAAGATTTTTTCAACGTGGGTCAAAAAAGTTTTATCCTATATTGGCAGATTTGCTTGTTTTAAGAAATATGCTTGAAACAAGTAAAATATATAAATATATATAGTCAGTATAATGGGATAATTTGGTACAGAGTAACACAAAAGTAATGAGATTTTCCACAAAGTGCTAAGCTCTGTAATTTCTTTACATTTTGAGAGAAGGAACTTGTAATGGATAACTTTTTTGAGTAACTACAGCAACACTGGGGCTATCTATACTAAGATTAATGCTAGCATTATAAACAGTCTGCTGAGCCTGTTCAGCACTCTTACAGAAAAAAATGACGTTAGCCTTTGCTTTTCTCTCTATTTTTGTGTTTTTTCTGCTGCACTTAGATGGCTTTGCTTAATTTTCTCTTAAAGCTCTGAAAATCACACTAAAGCACCTCCTCTTTATAATGTAGTTTATCGCTTAATTTTCTTGTTCTAACCAGCCTGTCTTTACGCAGTTTGTGTCATTACACAACAACATGGAATAGTCCATTGTTACCATGAATGGCGGGTGAGGCTGCATTGAAATGACTGAAAATAAGCACTACAATCGCAAATAACAGCTGTTATAAGAATGTATATAAATTTCAGGATAGGTTATTTAACATCAACATGCACAGATATATAGATATATAATTTGTATTGTAATGGGGCGTTGGCTTATGGGGGATCTACCTTTGCCTAATGCAAAGACCACCACTGCATATGATTAATGCAAGTAATGCAATTCTTATTAAGTCATTAACGTGTGTGTATAACACAGTAATGTGTGTATAAGATTGTATACTGTATTTCACTGTATTTCACTTGTCTTGTTCTATGCTCTATTTGCACTTAAATAAAAGCTCACTGTAAAATGAATGACCACTGACAACACAGGCAAATAAATAACAGCTCTTCCACTTGTATGAATTTGGCTTAATAGTGGAAATCTGAATAGAATACAGGAAACACAGCTGCCTCCAAATTAACAGCGATAGTTGCAAAAAAGGAACCCCCTCCGTCCTGCACCTCCAGCTCCAACTCAGTCTTCTCCACCAACAGCAAGCGAGTCCACATGTACATACAGCCTATTATCTGCAGTGCTCTCTCCCTGGGGCCTGTTGGCACATGACAATGTTTTAAGAAGTAAGTGGATCCAGGTTCACCCTCCTCACACTGACGGGCTGCAGGAGGTTTCCGTGTGCTCAGTGGTGGCACAACGACTGTTTTTCCTTAGATACTTACAAGTAATGAGTTAATGACTGTGAAAATGATCAGAATAGATGAACCAAAATATCAGACTAGTGAAAAGTATTTTCCAGAAATGATGGACAAATCCTACAGAGTTAAATGTTTTGTGAGGTACATAAAGAAAAGCCAGAGATCAGAGGACATTCTGGTTGAAGTAGATTTTGAGTGAGAACGTCTCATGCCAACCCCTCACTTGATCTGTTGCCAAGTGGGTTTCCATGACTGAATACCGAGGTATGACTAATCCATCGCTTGGCTCTGCATGTAAGGTGATTAATAAATGCTTGTGTGAAAAGTAAAGCCTCAGCACTTAGGACAGACCTGCTTAACTCTACAAATACCAAACGTTTCACTTGTTATAAACCATTTATCCATTTGTCTCTGACTAGAGAACTAAGTAGTTACTAGAACTAATTTTAGGTGCTTTCTTACTTGATGTTAATTCATTCTTCTTTTGTATCATATTCTCAGAAAATAGGTTCTTTTGAAAGATCACTTCCCCAGAAGCTGAGCTGAGAATGTATAACAATTACTCCTCAATAAGCCTTGAAGCAGGAGGAAACACTCTTCTTAACAGAGAGACTTGTCAACAGGGCTGTTAAAAGATGAGGTTTCCTCCATTAGGCTCCTGTTTGGATGGGAGAAGATAAATCAGCCATTGATCATGTATGTCACAACACTAACTGACACTGGCTCACCTCAGAGCAAAGCAGAACAGAGCAGAGAAGAGTTGAGCCGAGCACAAAGTCTGAATCACTGCAAAGCTCTGAAGAGAGCTGCATATAAACATAAAATGGTTAAAACAAACACTACTAGTTGTGTTAGTACTATGAACTGTACAACTACCAAAAAATCTAATTTACAGATGTTGTGCAATATTGATTAGGCTTATTTTCATTGGTTAGATTTTGGGATTCATTATTATTTTTGGTCTGATTGGTTAGATTGTTTTTATTGTTATTTAAAAATACCAAAAGAATAGAAAAGAGCACAAGATATTTACGAGATACCTGGGGCAGAACAACACACCACAGTTAAGGAAATATTTGTGGAATATTTTGAGTTGCATTTTGGTAAAATGCAGCACACCAATAATATTTCTAAGAGATTCAGGTCTAGTTTGATCACCCTGGTTAAACTACATTGAATTGAAAATGAACATGTTAGCTGACCAGGTGTGTCCAATGTGCATAGGACTGTATGTTTTGATTGAATTTTCAGCTGCAAAGGTCTCCCCCTTGTGGTACCCTTCAAGAAAGGAAAATTCAAGAGTCACCCAGAATTCCTAGCAAGTTAGTTGATTTCTGTTGATTGGCTCTTATTTTTCCTTCAGATGTTGTTTTCAAAAATAACACTTCATGAAAAGACAGTTTTCATAAATGAACAGGAATACGGGAAAAGCACAAGCTAATGAGATGAATCAACACTGACATCTGCTGTTGAAATGGGACCTTCAAATGATGTACTTGTGATTTCAAGCATAAGTAAATACTAATAAGCAATAATATTAATAAGCAGTTCATTCATATAATAGGGTATTTCATTGTATCTCTGCACTGAACTTTGAACAAATGAATAAGTAACTGAATACACAGACCCTATACCCTTAAAAATGGGTTCTTCAAGGGTTCTTTGGTAAAGAAAATGGTAATACAGAACCTTGACAACTCAATGGTTTACTACGTGCTTAATGGTTTGTTGCACGTAGTTGTAGATGGTTCTTCTGTTCCACCGCTATGGCTCAATAAAAGCAGCCTTCTCATAAGCCAAAGCTGAGTATTTATACTCGCTTCTTATCACCAAGTGTAAAGAAAGAAGGGCTTGCAATTAAAAGTGTAAGAGTTGAATAGAGCCCTTGATTCCACAAAGCGAAAAGCAATCATCCTTCAAACCAAAACAAGGCTCTCTGCTTTGCTCTGCTGCCAGGAACAGCAAGGGCACAATGCCTGTCAAATGGACTGTGACATTCCAGGGGTTTTCTGAGTGAGCTGTAATTACTTTCTCTCTAAGTTTTGGCTGTGGGGTCCACAGCCTGTGAATCCTCTCCACCCCCCAATTAGCAAGTGAAGTTCGCCTTCCCTACTTGTTCCCTCATCTTGTTGTGAAGCTCAGTCAAGGAACAATCTCCTTCTGTTCCGAATATGGAGTTCAGAAGATGTTTATATGTGGTTCTACTCCTGGATACAGTGCGTACCTTGATGTTAGAAGAGGATCTTACAGAAGATTTGGAGAACCAGGATCTTAGCAAGGCCATTTTAGAGATGCTGCACATCAATAAGCTGTCTGTGCCTCACCAGGCAAAGCCTCACCCGTACATGAAACAGGTTTACCAGCTACTGGACACACAGGAGTCAAGGCACAGGAGTGATGCAGATGGGACACTGGTGCAGAGTTTCCGTAGCATCCAGGGTAAGAAACACCCTCTGATGTGTCACCTGATACATTCAGAACCTTAGGAATATTTGCTTGAAGAAATGTTTCCTCTCTTAGTGCTCATCTCAGTGAGTAGTATATTAAAGATAGAACTTCAGATCTACAAATGAACAGCATAGTAAACTTACAGTGCCATTCAAAAATTGGGAATAATTGGTCATGTTAATATTTAGTTATCTTATAAGTTATATTATACATTATTTATAGTACACTGTTAGAAATAAAGGTTCTGTGCAGGTACATATTTTGTTCATCAAGGTACAAACAATGTAAATGTACCCTCAAAGGTACAACAGGTGGTTTTAAGGTATATTTGATTTTCTAAGTGAAAATACATCCTATACAAAGGACACATTTCTGCATTTTTGAATGGCACTGTAAGTTTACTATGCTGTTCATTTGTAGATCTGAAGTTCTATCTTTAATATACTACTCACTGTGATGCACAATTACTAGTACAATATAAAAAGTGGCCTGTGCAAAATTTATGAAGCATTTTATATTTTATTTTTTCTGAATGTTAACATCAGCAAATACATAGAAAGATCACACTAAAGTTAGCATAAAAATGGCCTATTTACATTTTTTCCCTGTAGAGGATGAGTTAACTTATTATTCTTTACACAATTAATAAACATGTAATTTGAAACTTTTGCATGGTGATTGCTGTTCAAACTTTTGCATTTAACTGTATATTTACGGTATTTTGTTAGTTTATCTCAAAGTTGATCACTACTATTGAAGGCATTCGCGTTCCCGTCTTATTAGCCATACAGTTTAGTCAGACATTTTAGAATCATCTTTATCTTTGTTCATTATTTTGGACACATCTAAAATGTTTTCTGTAATTTTAAGGCTTCTTAGCTTCATAAAAACATGTGAAAATGGTCTATATTCTTAAAAAAACATCATTTGAACTGTACTGCATTTTAATGCTGATTTTATCCATGAATAAGATCAGCTAAGTATAGCTAATTATGGATCTATGTCTAAAACTTTGTAACCAGGTACAAAATATAACACCCCGGGCTGGATCTGGTTCAACGTGTCACACCTCAGGCCCTCTATGACTGTCGCTGAGCTAGTCCTACTGAGAAAAACGCTTCATCCTGAGCCACTGACCGTAACAGTGGCTGTGCACAGCCTCTCACCAGGAGTGGGGAACCTGAGCATAAGCGGACCCCTCGCTGAGCAGCTGCTGAACCTGGACAAGCTTCCCCCATCAGGCTACGATGTGTTCAACGTGACGGCAGCCCTGATGCAGCAGCGCCGCTGGCAGGATGCCCTGGGTTTCCAGCTGCGCTTTGGAGATGAAAGTGGAAGCCTAGTGCTCCACGAGGCCCTCACACAGAGCCTCTACTGCTTAAATGGGAGCTCCCTCAGTCAGCCACTGCTGGTGGCGTACAGGGTCAAACCAATAGAGCTGCACGAGGGGGCCCAGCAGGCCTCAGGGAAGACCACCGAGCGCAGGCAGAGGCAGCACTGCAGGGCCAGCACTCAGCAAGAAAAACGGCGACCACAGTCCAGGCAGCAGAGAAGAACTGCTAACACAGCATGCAGACTTCATGTACATCATGTTGATGTTTATAAGAGTGAACTAGCTCAGTGGATACTACAGCCAACAAGGTTTAACATCAGTTTCTGCAGGTATGATTTGTGAATGTGGGTATTCCATTTTTTTCTTCTTTCAACAGCTTTGTTTAACAACCCTGCACATTTTAGTTCTTTTCCTGCTTAACACCCCCACGTTAACTTGATGATGGGCTGTTAATGAGCTGATTAGTTGGATCAGGTTTGTTGGCAGCAGGGAAAACACTAAAAACTGCAGGGTAGTGGGCCGGCAGGACAAGGGTTGAGAAACACTGCCCTGTACATTTCACTGTTTTGCCTGTTCCAATACAACCCCCATCCCACGGACCCAATGCCTTGGGGTTTTTTTTTTAGAGCAACTAAATGAAGTGCCCAGGAAAGGATGGCATGCCCACTCCAGGTAAGGGGAAAGGACTTGCCCCAGGTGGAGGAGTTTAAGTATCTCTGGGTCTTGTTCACGAGTGATGGGAAGAGGGATCGTGAGATCGGCCGCAGGCTGGGACAGGCGGCAGCAGTAATGCGGTCACTGTACCCGACTGTAGTGGTGAAGAGGGAGCTGAGCCATAAGATGTTGCTCTCTGTTTACCGGTCGGTCTGCATCCCGACCCTCACCTGTGGTCATGAGCTGTGGGTAATGACCGAAAGAACGAGATCGCGAATACAAGTGGCGGAAATGAGCTTTCTTCACAGGGTGGCGGGCTACACTCTATTTGATAGGGTGAGGAGCTTGGAGGTTGTTGTCTTGGAGGAAGTTGGCCTGGGAGCGGCTTGGGGTCCCCGGGAATGAGCTGGAGGAAGTTGCGGGGGACAGGGTCATCTGGGATTCTCTGCTCTCCCAACTGCTTCCGCGACCCTAGCTGGACTAAGCGGTTGATGATGATGATGATAAATGAAGGGTTCCACTTCAACAGTATCACATAAAACATATTAGGGTTCGGTCAACCGATGCTGCAAATGCTGGGTCGATGTATTGTACCTGTGTGTGATTAGAGACTGTAGGATGTTCTCCGCTGTTCATGCTCTTCCAGAATGTTCCACTTTATTCACTCTGTTCTAGAACGTTCTTGTTGCATTCACATGGTTCATTCATCTTTTCTGTCTTATTCTGACTCAGTAATAAAACCAAATGGCCACTTTACAAGGTTGGTGTTTGTTGGGGAATGTTGGCTCAGTGTGCCATGACCGCAAGGTCAACAAAAATCAGAAATCATAGCACATTTTTGAGACATGTACCGAGACACCAAGTGAAACACGGTGTCAGAGAGGGTCTCTGAGCTAGCCGAGCATTCTCTCTTAATGATGGTCCGGGCAAAAGCCATTCCATTACAGGAAAATAAGGAAAAGAAACATTTCAATTTGATGATATGATGAATTATGCATAATATAATTAGGCACAAGATAAAAACCTAAAGCTAAAAGTCAAATTTGACCTCAGGATGACTTTATGATAACCGAAAGTCAATGTCTCTTTTGCAGGGGTTTGTGTATGAGGGAGAAATCCAAGCTCTCTGTGGATGTACAGAAGCTGAACAAAAGGAACAAAGAAAATGATAAGCCCAAAAGGTATAATTTAAACCAATTTCTCTCTAATGATTTGTCACCTGGTTTTCAATTGCAGTGAAATCAGTTGGATTGATAATTATTTTAAATGTTTACAATCTTGTACTTCTTTCCAGTTCACAGTGCATTCCACAGGAGCTGTCTCCCCTCAGAGTGATGTATCGAAGTACCACGAATTACATCATTATAAAGGAGTTAAAGGACATCAGGGCAGAGAGATGTGTCTGCCCACCAAAGACTGAATAATAATAAGTGAACTGAAACACTGACACCTACTCATATGCAAAGGAGTTGGTATACAGTAGTGTGAATTATAAGACAATGCCATTAGCCAACATCCACATGAAATCTGATCCAGCATAACAACTTCATCATGTATGAATTGTAAGGTAACTCAAGCTGAAAAATAACTCTATTCATGGGAGTTGCAATATAGTGTTTCTCACTACCAACCAAGATGACCCATTTCACTGCATGTTGTGTTTTCCCTTCTGTAATGCACCTGATTCAGCTAATCGAGTAGTTATGGACTCATTCATGAATTATAGGTGCAAGGGAGCAGAAAAATAATACAAAATTAATAATAAAAATTGTGCAGTGCATTTGATTCCCATGACTGGGATTGAGAAACATACTGGATACACCATTAAAAAGGTGAGACTACTAGTTCACACTGTAACGCTTTACACCACAAGGGGGCAGAAGAATGCAAAGCAAGGAGTAAACGGAGTTAAAACATTCTATCTCGAATGTATAACGTTAACCGTGTAAACAATAAAAGGCTACGAGCATTCTCAGTGTATTAATAATGTGAATATAGTTTATCCTTATGAATGATGGTAAAGTTAAACTGAGGCAGATTAGCCTGTGAATAAGAACTGATAACACTTTTCATCTCTAAGGACTGTAAATCACAAAGACTCAGCAACTTTAACACTATCGTGAAACAAAACTGGCGCTTAGAATGCCAAAATGAACTTATCTTCAGCTCCTCGTGGCAGAAAATTTGACAGTGTTTGTATAAAAACGCTCCTTTGTTGAAATGTTCGCCTTAGCTAGAAAACTAGGGCTGACAGCCGATCCCAAATGGAGTCGATTCTCCGATTCCAAGCGTTTGAGAATAAAGAGTCGACTCGTAAGCTTTGTACTCGATTCCACACAGACGTTCAAGTTTGCCCATAACCTCGCACACCGAGGATGATAGCGCTGCTCCGCTGTCAAGGTTTTCACAGCCTGCCTGAAAACTTCATCCTTCCACAACGAACACATCAATACTAAATACTAGAGTGGCTAGATTGGCTGCGTGTTGCTTTGGACAAAGTAACGTAAATTTTATTTTTATAAAAATGTGGTCTACAATGCCCTGCGATGGACTGGCGACCTGTCCAGGGTGTATCCTGCCTTCCGCCCAATGACAGCTGGGATAGGCTCCGGCACCCCACCGCGACCCAGAAGGATAAGCGGTTTAGATGATGTATGTATGTATGTGGTCTACAATCAACTTCCTATGCTATGCCTACAACTTCCTATGCCTATGTTAAAACCTCTAGTTACCCACCCGAGGCTAACACGGGAAAATTAGGTACAGTTAAGCTAATCAGGTAATTTGGCTAGCGTTAGCGCTCTAAAACTGCCATGTTTGATTAACCTTGCATTTTTGAAGAACCACTGATGTGGCAGCACATGCAGTTAATTTACCATCAACCAAGTGTATTATTACTTAATATTACACCTTTTACTTTATCAGTTCGGTTTTCTTACGTTTTTATTTTGGAATCAAGAAAGTTACTGCACGGAATCGACTCCGTTAATTCTCATCACACAGAACCTGAATCGGAGTCGACTTCCTTATTTCTGGAATCGAGCAACTCTACTGTAAACGTTCATGTTCCCGCCTACCACACTTCCTCCGCGATTGCTGCGTTTTGATTGGCTGAGACCGCCATCAATCAAATCCAGCCATGTCAAGTGCAGGGAGAAAAGCGAGCTGAGGGTTAAAACTAATCTCAGAAGAAAGGCCGTTATTCGTAGCCGCGGTTTGTTTTATCGGCCTACAGAGGCCTCGTACTAAAGACATGCCCCGTTCGTTTGGGCTTTTAGGCGCCAACTTTTAACCGCGCCGAGGAATTCCCCCAGTATGTCCCCCGTCTGCGGACACTGAGCCGTCGCTTTTCAGAGAGGATAACAGGGATAACGGGGATAACAGGAGTGAACCTGCTGCTGCTCTCCGCGGTGGATGTGACCCACTAGTTAGTATCTGCGCTCAGAGACGGATGTGGACGAGCATCAATGATGTCAGGAAAGCATTACAAGGGCCAGGAGGTCAGCTGCTGCATCAAATACTTCATATTTGGATTTAACATAATATTTTGGGTAAGAGCATTTCCCCGTCGCTGTGTCTTTATTCTGTCTGTTCTTGTCGTTTTGTGAATCCGTGTCGTTATCGTTTCTCACTGTGGGCCTGAACGCTGTGGGGTTTGTTTTCTCGGTTTTATTCTGTGGACTGTTCTCTTTGTTCAGAGCGCACGACGAACTACAGCGCCGCGGACGGAGAAGCGGCTTGTGAGCGTTAGAAGAGCCGAACACGCTTCACTGTTACTCGGTGATAAGCGCAGCTCCAGCATTTGGTGGAGCAGTTTATCCGGACAGCCGGAGCTCAGTGTAACCTGACTGTGCGCACAGATAATCCGCTTTAGCTCTGTACTGAGGAGTGCTGTCGGCCTTCTAATACGATATTACAATTTCAAACCACATGACTAGGTGGTCTATCTATCTATCTATCTATCTATCTTGTTAAATTTTCTTTCTCATTGCCTTGCTTTTATTTTTTCTCTTATTGCATAAGGACCCTAATTATTGCAAAAAACAATAATGCATATTCACTGGAATAATCAGAAGTTAATTCTCTACGATGACTTTCTTTCTTTCTTTATTTCTTAGTAATTAAGAAAACAATAATAATGATTGTAATGGGGAAATGATTTGGGAAAATAACTGATTTTTCTGACCAATACTGCAATTTAAGTGCTGTTATTTTCTAGAAGTTAAGCTTCTTTTCCCCAAAAGACCAGCACATCCATTTTTAAGGACGTGAATGTAGCGTGCTGGAGTGCTGTTCCACAAACTCAGCATAATTAAGTTACACTGGTTTAAATATTGAATAATGTAAGATACAATTAAAATTGCAGCTCTTGCAATCTGAAAATTGCAATTTCAATATAAAAACAATGAATCATTTCAGCCCTAAAGTCAATTAATATTTACAGAACTACACAACCATTAATTATATTCAACAACATTCTTTTTTCCTTCTTTCTTTCTTTGTTTTTCTTTCTTTCTTTCTTTCTTTCTTTCTTTCTTTCTTTCTTTCTTTCTTTTCGTTCTCCCTTTCCTCTCGATAATTAGTAGAAAGACAGTCATGCATATTCAGTAGTCTACTCAAAAGTTCATTCTGAACAGGAATGTCGAGCTGGGCTTCAGGAACACTGAGTGCCACGTCTCAGTAGTTTTTGTAGATACAGCACTCAGCTGTTAGATTAAGCCCAGCAGACAGTGATTCTGTCAATACAGCTGTAAGCTGACTCGGCATCAGTGCACAACTTTCCAACTCCAAATACAGCAAAGTTAAGCAATTTACCACTTTCATTAAATCACGAATGGGTTTCCTTTTTTCCTGAGTCACAAAATGTCACTAAATTGCAGTTTCAGCTTGTCAGGGGTTGGGGGGTTTGGGGGCTTCTGTGTGTCGTTATAGAGAGCTCTCAATGCACGTTCAGCATGTTCAGTATCGTATTTCTAACAAACAGGCTGCTCTATTGTTATTGCCAGTTTGCTTCAATTACCGCCCCCTTGTTCTTCCTAACAAGTTATTTGCATTGCATTGACATGCCATGGTACCATGCCATGAATTGCACTGAAAGTGTTTGATATAAAAGGCTTTATTTTCGATTAGTTAAGTTCCCTCTGCAGGCATAGCTTATCTATAGCAGAGAGCCTCACAAAGACAAGATCCTTGTGCTTTCCACTCTGGAATAACCTCCATTTATCTTGTTTGCTCTGCAAGTGTGTAGGAGTCATTTGTGCTGTTTCTCCCTTTTCTGGGAATTTGCAGTACTTTACATTGCAGATGTGCTTAGTCAAACCCAACGTTAAATATTTAATCAAGGGTGGAAGTGCTAGAATGTAAAATTTAACGCTACGTTTTGAGGGGGAGGAAGAGAGAAAATCATATTTGCTGTCTTTCTGTTAAACTTTTCATCATTTTTAAAATTAATGTCCTAATTTTTCACAATTTGGTCCCCCCTTTTTGTGATACGTATTGGCTCCATCATACATAACCAACAACAGCAGTCAGCACAGCAGGGTCTAAAATCTGAGTCCCAGCTTTAGGGAACAGCTCTGCAGTGTTAAACTGAATGTACGTTTGAATGCACGTTCCCCCGGGGGAGAATTTGTCATCTTTTATCATTGAATTCCTATGGACGAGTGGATGATATTGCAGTGCTGGAACACTGTGCTTTCAACATTGTGGCACAGTGGTTAATGGAATAGCCTTCATTTTACCCACTTCAACTCAGACTAAAGCATTTGTAATGAATAATTTGAGTCCACTGTGAATAACTAAGAAGCAGAATTTATGCATTATGAAATTTGTTCATTTACGCAATTACTGAAAAGATCTTTTATGGCAAAAACCAAGCTCTATTTGTCTCAGCACAGGCCATTGACGGTCAGCGCTTGTGTCCTGGTTTGCGGTTCAGCTTGCCAGAACCTCTTGAGAAGTTCACATCCCTGGCAACAGCTAAATGAAACCACGCCCCCGCACACCCTTCAGCTTTGCATCACTTATGCAGGCTGAGTAGAGTAATTAAAGAACCCTCAAGACCTGAGAGCATTTCTGGGTCAGTGGCATAATGAGTGCTAAGAGTTTAATTGCAGCGACTAGTAAATTTTAAAGGCTAAATGAGGATAAAAGTGAGGTACTCATCTATTTTTTATTTGTCAAAATCAGAGCTCAACACTCACTGGTGGTTTTTATTTTATTACTACTTGAACTGGCAAACATATAAACATAATGCTCTACACTAACTTCATACTTCGGCTCACTTTAGTGCACTCTACATATGGCCTGTATTCTGCTTTCAGGGCGGGTCTCTAAACCAAGTGTCAAGCTCCACTAGCTTGTTCCTTCAGTGAAAGCACTCCTTTGTTTTCTGTACGGTGTTTTCCTGGCAACATGATGCAGGGGTTCTGAGGCATTTTCTGGAGCCTTGCTCATTTCCTGATGTTTTTTCATCAGCCATCAATGAGGCTGTGAGATATATACATTTATATCTCTATACATTGAATAGATATACATGCGAGATATATATCTTCATTGTTTCCAACAAGGTATTCTGGCATATATCAGAAAGCTAGTAGTAGGCTGAATATGTTACTTTGCAGACATCATAAAAGTGATACTAATGCCTGCAGTAAAGGCACAGATGCTTTTAGGTTAATGGTGAGTGCAGTCAGTGCACCAGGTTTGGAAATAGGGACCCCTGTGGTAGAATTAAGCCTCATCAGGATGAGAGATGAATAAACTAAAAAAATAAAAGTTAAATAAAATTCTTACTGGTGTTATAACACCTTTAGAGGGCAGCAGTGAGTAATGTTAGTTTATTTGAACTCAGGCTGTTTCTATTGCCATTTGGGAGCTACTAACTATCAAAAGCTACGAAACAAGGTAGCTAAACAGACCATTTGGCCAGCTACTTTAGGCTGTTTTATAAGTTGGATACAATGAACAAATGAATTTTTTACAATCATTTATATAATCCTCAACTAAAACTTCACAATCATGACAGGCCTACTTGTAAAGCTATGTCCCGATGAATGCAAATACATCAGCTTTTGTGCTCTGTATGGCCAGTGAGGGCCAGATTAGTTGTCACCTTTCCTGTTACTTTTTCTGTGTAATTGTCTCTGGGTTGCTGAGCTTTTGTGCTTTCATACTACAGACAGTATTCATTTACCTTCAGAATGCTCACCTTTCTCACCCAAGGACCTCAGACAGCAACACTGCAAATTATATCTTGGCCAGTGAAAGCAACTTAAATGTAGACAATAGGCCTATGTTTCTCATCAAGCTTATTGAATCTACTTTTTGAGATATTTACATATTTAAAGTAATCTTTTTAAGTGAAATTATTTAATTGCACTGACAGATGAATACTTTGTGGCCAAAAGTTTGTGGGTATGTGACCATCACCTTGGACATCCCATTCCAAAACAATGGGTATTAATATGGAGTTGCCTGCCTTCTGCAGCTATAATGGCCCCCACAAGACTTTCCACAATGTTTTGGAGTGTGTCTGTGTGTGTACAGCAATGCAATGAGATTCCAAGTCATTTCAGACCATTTCTATTGGAGATTCTGTTGGAGTCTTGAGAAAAAAAAAAACAGAAAACAAAAAACAACTAAAAAAAGTTTTGATATGCCAGCAATGATAAGCAATGTGAAGCAGCTGTCATGCTCCTTAAGCATTTTTCAAGTCTGTATAAAGTTATTTTATTTCATTTTATTTTATTATTCAACAAATTTGCATCCTTTTAGACACTTCTCTATTTAGAAAATAGGTTGGTTTATATTAGGGATGGATTACTGACAGGGACAGTGTCCAGGGGCTTTGGGGGTTCTCGTATTCCAAGTTCAATGGAAGTCAAGAACTTGTCGCAACCCACTGCGGATATATAGATGGTACAAACAATTAAATCAATGAAATAAATGAAAGAAAACGTTTTTCTGTTTTCAGGCCAGTCACGTTTTACATTGTTATTGACTCACATATTGCATATTAATAAGGTGAATTTTGTTTATTTTCCAAACAAAAAGAAACAAATTTGCATTGCACGTAAACCACATCTGTGAACTACTGTCTATTATTATTCATACATTTATTGTTAGAGTTCAGGGGGCCTTCAAAGATGCTGGTGTCCATGGTCCCCACAACACCTTCCCTGGTTCATGTAATGTAATATATATTCATATTTTATATCTGTCTGCAAGTGTTTGAAACAGGCCTTAACGGTGTTAGTTACACAAGTGATCATCTGAAGTCTGCTCATCAGAAATACGCCTACTCAACTGTGCAAACACGATAGTGAGTCATAATACAAGATTGACAGCAGATGATCTCTTTATATTTGTGTGCATGAGGAGCGTTTGCAAATGTACAATTATAATGGCAGGCACTTCTTACAGCTTTCCTGAAAAAATAGAGCTTTCTTTCTAGCAGCAATGCTTGTGTATCACTCTAGGGGAAGCACCAGATGTTTTTTAGTGCAGTTCTGCATTTTTCAGTATGTGCTGGTCTGATTGCTTTTCTGTT